TTAAATTTAGAGCAAAAAAAGGAAAGATTTTAAAATTAGAACTGAAGATTTTATAAGTGCTAATTCAAAGAAATCAAAATTGACGTGTGTAAATAACAAAGACATCAAACAAATAAATTTTGGTAATAACGACAAAAAGAACAATCAAGAAGACCTGTGTCTTTAAATTTTAAATGTTAAACTAAGTGCAGTGTGACAGATACAGGCCGTTTGTGGCCGAAACATGTAGGTAAAGGAGAACAAAACAAAAGACCTATAATATATGGCTGCACTGAAGACGGAGTTGGTATCATGTATAATACCAATGTAGACTTAGACGATACTAATCTACATTTAATTCACTAAAGTGTTCGTTAAAATGTTTTAACAAAATTGTTTCAGCCACACAGGGCCATCTTCAGGCAACACATCATTAAGGATTCGATTGTTCTGCACACTTTGTCAATAGTATTCTTAAGGTACATCATTATCATTATTAATTTTGGTATTATGAGAATCACTGTATTTATTAAATATTGTATATTGTTGTATTTGGTAATACAAAGGACTGGAAGAACAAACATCCTATATTACCAAAATTAATAATAAAGATGATGTACCATAAGAGTACAGCTGACAAAGTGCGCAGTGCAGTGGATTCCCTAATGTGTTGCCTGAATATAGCCGTGTGTGGCTGATATATGTGGCGCATGAACATGGAATGTATATATATTTTAGTGACATTTTCAAACACTTTAAAGAATATTTTAGTGAATTAAATGTAGATTAGTGTCATCTAAATCTATAGTGATACTGTTGCATTACAGACGGTAGAAGACTAAGTGATAGTTCTCTATATTATGGAAATTATGAATCATTAAATACTGCAGCTTGTACTGGATTTACTTAAGATTAAATCTGACAGAGTTTCTAGCAATTCTAATACCTCTTTTGTGAGTAATTTCTGCTTTACACACCTGTATCTGACAAAAGAATGGGGAGACCTACAATTACAAAATATTAATATATGCCTGTAATCACTACTGAAAAGATAATGAAAAACATACACATTACGGCCAGTAGAATTACTGTTTTTTGTTTCTTCCTTTCTGTTTATTTTTAAAAACTTGACTGTCAAAGGCTACTTTCATCTGATAATAAGTTACTGAATTCATATAAAAAAAGAACTGTTCTATCAGATGCTGAGATACAGTTCCAGGAATTAAATAATCAACAAACTGCAAGGCAGACTATGACTCAGGTCAATTTTTATCATGTCAGGAAGCTCTTAAAATAGTATATTATGCCAAGGTGACAACTTAAGTATCCATCTTGACCTCCCAGTCCATGTGTGAAGTAGTTCCATTGTTTCATTCAACATAAGATACTGCTGAGCTTGAGCTGCATCACAGAATGAGAAGAACAGTTGAAGGAAGGCTGTAAATAACTGTTGGGCTGATGCATATTTTCAGCCCTTATACTGCTAGTTATCAAAGACCCTAATGTGTGGAACTTCCACAGAACAAACGCACTGCAGCATAAAATTTGGTAACTGTTAGAACACAAAAGGCTGAAGGGTGCAACTCAGTTTTGGAATACACATACATTTTACATGCAAATTTTTATTCAACTTACACCACTGGCCTTCAGTTAGGTGTTCCTGACAAGAATCTTGTAGCAGGATACTTCGTTTCATGCTGTATTTCTGGCAAGGTATGACCCATTATACCTATATCCTGGCGCATATAATACACGACATTTTGTGGGCTGGTTCTACCTTCTGTTCTTGAGGTGACCCTGCTTGTCACTTACACTGACAGATATTTCACTGCTTCTTAGTTTAAGATCAGTGACAATATTTGGAATTGAACTTTTTTGAGTTTTTATTGTTACACATGTACGGAAGATATATTCTGGATTGTGGTTTTCTGAATTAGAACATCACATGGTCTCATAGGTGATTACCTGTTACCTCTACATCCACTTCTATGCTGAAGATAGACAGTGAAGGTTCCTCCATAACACTGGTAACCACCTACTACCAGACTACACAGCATGATAACCAATAAAATTGTATCTTAAATTTTCACTGGCATAAAAACTTCAAATTCCCTAATTAATGTTACTTCCTATCTTGTGGTACAGGGAGCCATATGGAACTCATGTCTAACTTCTTGGCTCATGGCCCGTTCTACTCTTCTGATAAATACTGGTTCCTTCAGTTTCAAAGCAGAACTGTTTTAACTTTTTATGGATCATTTCTGCTTTATCCCTCTCAAACAGTGGAGGTGTCTATTGCACCATTGCCTAGTTATACATGTTACAATATTTAGTTCTTGTCTGATTGGTTTCTCTTAGTCTGTTTACTGTAGCCTGTAACAGCCCTTAGGAACCTTGTTCCAGCTGTCTCAGTGCAACTCTCCTGCTGTCTGGTTAGGGTCCAGCAACTGAGCCATACAGCAGTGTAAGTACAGTCATTACTGCATAAAACTTCTTGCTTTACCACTCAGTTTTCTCTTAACTGTGCCATAAATACTGTAAATTATTTAAATCAGGTGCTAATCTAAATAATAAACTAATTCGCTATAAAGATAAATAACTGAAGACCTGGAGCAAAGAATAAATGCAGAAGCCTAGAATCAAAACCCGTGAAGAATAGCAATTGGCATGCTGAAGAACAAACCACTAAATGCAATTCAACAGGCTCAATTATGATCAAGTGTAAGCAGTAAGAGAGCATATGGATACATACCTGGAGTGCTAATGTAACTTTCTGGGAAATCTACTTAAGCAGCATGTAAAGAAAGAAGACATGTAATCATTTCTGTGTCTGCTGAATCACTGCACTATACAAATACTTTTGTTTACTGTTACATTACTGCCACTGAACATCATGCTCACCTCCGACTGCCAGCTCAACTCTTTGAGTAACAACAGATTGGCCATCTGAAGCAGAGCAGATGTATATCCCTGAGTCAGAGACGTGAACATCTGTGATGACCAGAAGTCCTTGTCGGTCATCAAAGGCTCTGTCTCTTGGTAGATCTCCACCTTCCTTGCTCCACTGTAGTGTAACAGGTATCTAAACAGAAAAGATATATTTCTTTCTTACTACAGCATCATGAGTTGTAATATCATCTCATTTCACGACAGTCATCTGACATCAATACACCAGATGCTTAAAACAATATCAGCAGCATCTGAGTGTTAGAACTTTCATCAAAGAGACACATTCAGAACACCAGCATATGAGATCTGAGGACCTCACAATGGTGGAAATGAGGAGTGCTATCTTCTGGGGCACGTCACTACATAGTGTGGTAGTTTCTGCAAAGAGTTCTACCTCCTGGGATATTGTGCTGTGTAGTTCACTGAAAGTCAACTGACATTTCAGAGAAACATGTCAACTCCATCTTCAGGGTCAAAGAATGAACCACGCAAGAACCCAGCACTAAGAGATCTGCATGCCACCTGCTACATGGTGGTTTCTGCTTTGCCTATTCTTCGACCCTGAAGATAAGAGGCAATACAACACATTCCTCCGAAATTTTTGTTGACTTTCAACTAACTACGGAGTGTTGCAGCTCAGAAGACAGAATTTTTCATAACCACCACTGTCAGAACCTGAAATCTTGCACACTAGAAATTCACTGGCATTTTAGAGAAGTGGACTGTCTCCATCTTCAGACTAAAGAAGTAAATCCAGCAAGCAACTGTTTGCTTCATTGCTCGACTCATACTTCAAACTTCAAGAAGACAGTGCATACCTCTTAAACATTAGTAAACTTCTATCAGCCTACATGGCACCACATCCCAGAAGACAGCACTCTTCAAAATATAAACAATTTCTTACAAGCCAGGCCAGTAATGTGGCAAAAATCAGTCTAAAGACAAGCTAATTATTGTGACCTTTTGGCCAATTACTTTGTCACAACCCCACAAAAGAACAGCATAACAAACCTCCAAGATTGATCGGCCAGAACATCTGTAGCGAACAGTGCTGCCAACATCAACAATCTGTATAGTTGGCTCCGAAACAGAAATGATGATGGTTGGTTGGGGAGGTGGGGGTCGAGTAGGGGGATATGTAGTTGTTGGCCCTCCATCTGAAATAAATTCATGATTAGCATCAGAGTAAAAAATGTTCACACAATCCTAATTTTGTAAAGCAAAGTCCAACATGCTGGGTCACTACAGACAAGGCTCAGTCAAGTGGAAGTGCAAGCATTCATGTGTTTATTTAAAAATTATCCCCCTTATATGAAGGCACCATGCCTACTGTATCACCTGTTTGCTGGAATTATTTTTATAACCAGCTCTTTGTACAAATACTTCACAAATCCAGTTAACATATGAAACTATCACTGCAACATTTCCTGCAGGTGAAGTGAGAAAGGGAGTCTACAACAAAGGCTTCGAGATGTATGCGATGTTGTTTTCTTCACTTTTATCATCCTTTGTAATGTAAGTGAGTTAGACAGAGAGAAAATGACTACCAGAGGAAAGAACCATAGAGACTTTCATATGGAAAACAATACATTTCAACTACATTCCAATGTATTCTTTCAAAGAGTGTGGTAAGACTGAGCCCTCAACACTGTGGTTTCAAGTGGTTCTACTGGACCAGTCCCTAACAAGTCATTGTGACATGCTTGAAAGACAGACATGAACAATTAAATTCTAAGGATAAAAGTACTACTGCTTTACTTCTGAGAAAATCTCAACTGGTTTGAGGCGCCTCAGTGTTAATACACGAAGTTCTGGAATGAGTCTTAATTATACTCAACTTCTGGAATGTGTCCATAAAGGGTTTCATATTCATCAGGGGTGCTTCTGTGAACTCTTGCTCTGTAAGTGCCTTCCCTGCCTTTTCTAAGACATACTATGTCTATGTCTACAAACTATGTATATTTATTTTGTTAACTTATATTACTGAATGACGTGTCCAAATGTTATTATGTAGCAAAACGGATGAAAATAAAATACACAATACACAATACATATACACATACTAAACCCCTATACCTAAGCAATGATCAGAGTTTTGAATAAAAATGGAAATATAGAATGATCCTAACACTATGGTTGTATGGACACTTCAAACTTACTCTGTAGCCATCAGTACTGTCTAGATATCACTAAGTATGACAAATAGTTTAATGTTTTGAATTGCAACACTCTTCAATATTTGACAGCTATTTCTCAAATACTCAAATATGAACAAAGAAAACTGCAATCTAATAAAATTTTCATGTCATTAATAGCTACAACATTTTCAGTTTAAACATTATTTACTGAAACAAGTGTCTGGAAATATAATAAAGCCTATATCNCAGCCAAAATTGTAAACATCAAACATTATGATAAACTGTTTACCGAAAGCTGGGTTATTAAAACAGTATAAAACAAAAGTGACATATAAATATGCATATGCATACCTGTAAAATTAAAGTAAAAACACAATAGGAAGTAACTAAAGTAATGTAACATGACTTGGAAATGTTCCAGTCACTTTCATGTGTCCTGACATGAGAATAAGAGTGTAACATTGAATCCATGGCACAGTTTGAGTCTAGTAGAATTAACAGTTTCAGTATTCATTACATCTTTACTTCAGTATCTTTCCTAAATGATTATTATTATTTCATCCATAGCTGTAGAGAATTACAATTGGACATGTCAAATACGAGGGTCATACTGAAAGTCATGAGCAACAATTTTTTTGTAAAGTAACATGATTTATTATTGTCAAACTAAATACACCAAATCAATCTACAGACCTTTCTTTATTTTTCTACATAATCGCCACTTCTTTGTACACATTTCTCCCAGCGTTCTGGGAGTCTGAAAATTCCCCTTCTGTAAAATTCTGTTCCAGCCATCCAAAAACACTGACGCACTGCTTTCTGAATTGCCTCCATTGTCTCAAAACGTTGTCCATGCAGCTGATACTTCACAAATCCGAAAAGATGGTGGTCAGAGGATGTCAGATCAGGAATTGGGAGGGGTGGGGGTGGGAGGGGTGTGGAAGAACTTCCCACCCCATCTTTGCAATTGCTTCCAATGTGAGGCGAGTGGCATGGGGCAAGCGTTGTCATACAGGATGATGATGTTTTGTCCCCGACGTTTATCACGCAATGCACAACGAAGCTTGTGCAGCGTCCAGACATAACGAGCAGCACTGATGGTTTGCCCAGTTTCCAGGAATTCAGCCAGAATAAACCACTCTGCATCCCAGAATTCAGCCAGAATAAACCACTCTGCATCCCAGAACACTGTGCCCATCACCTTCGCAGCTGATGGCACTGTCTTTGCCTTCTCTTTTGATGGAGAATGCAAATGCTGCCATTCAATACTCTGGCGTTTCATTCCAACCTCGAAATGGTGAAACCAGCTTTCATCACCTGTCACAATACAGAGCAAAACATCATCGCCTTCGTGTCGATATCTCTGCAGCAGTTCTGAGGTGATGGCTTTTCGCTGACCTTCATGGTCTTCGTCCATAACCGCGGGACCCAACGAGCACAAACTTTCCTATAGCCCAAGCTTTCAATCATCTCCTGTACTGCACTGTGCCCTATTCCAAGTTTTCAGGGTACTGTGTCCACAGTCACATGCCTGTCATCTTGAATGATCTCATCCACTCTTTCCTTGTTGCGTTCAGTGGAGGCTATTCGAGAACGACCGCTCCGAGGCTCATCTTCAATGCTGGTGTTCCCATCTTTAAAACGTTTCACCCATTTTCGAACACTACTCGCACCCATGCACACACTTCCATAAGCATGCTGAAGTCTCTGGTGAATTTCTGCAGCAGGGATTTCCTCTTTCACAAAAAATTTGATGACAGCACGCTGGCGAAACGACATATCGTTGTTGGCCATTTTGTTAGGAGTGATACTGGTCATGTGATGCAAGCTACTGACATCACAAGACACTCAAGGATAACACAACAGCTAGTTCCACCTACCACCGTACCCTCTTTTAGTCTGCTGTTCCCAGGTTGCATGCAAAAAAAAGTTGCTCATGACTTTCGGTACGACCTACATGTATTAACATCATCACATCAAAAATAACATAACATTCACACAGTGATTTATCACTATAACACAGCAATACATTTTAAAATAGATTTTTAACTTAATTTATGAATAATAAATACTCCAAGAAAGACATAAGAATAAATATTTTAAACATACAGACATGATAAACAATATATACCTTAAACATCAATCAGCTATACTTAATTATAATTTGTTCAAGTCCATTCTGAGAAAATTCAGTTAAAGACATGGACACACCAATATAATTCTCCATGGATTTCCCCAAAGGTCAATTCTTTGGCCTTTGCTTTTCATAATCTACATAAATGACCTCCCTCTGACAATAGATACCTTATCAATACACATAATATTCAATGACATTAATGTCACAGCTTCTATCAAAGATCTCGATGATTTCTGTATATTATCACACAGAGACTTCTCTCATATAAGTAAACTGTTACTGCTACCGAACTGGCTCTGAATCTAGATAAATTAAATGTATCAAAATTTATAATAAATCATTTACCACAATATCCATTAAACTCTGGATATAACAATAAACATACAGAAGAGCCAATAAAACCAGAATTCCTTGATTTCAAAACTGATAACCATTTAAACTAGAAAAATCACATTATCATCTGGTTCCCAAGTTAAGCAGAGTATGTTATGTAGTGAGATCTGTGTTATACATCAGCATCACTGGCACTCACGAATCAATCAATTTTCTATTTATTACTTTACAATGAAGTATGGACTAACTTTCTGGTGAAATTTATCTAACATCAAAAGATATTTATACTACAAAAGAAAACTGCTAGAATCATGGAAGATGTAGATGTAAGCAGTGCTTGAGGTGGAATGAAAATAGAACCGGGATGGTTTTCCCCTTTTAATTCATAGACATTGCATTTACTGCCAAAGTAGTAATGGGATGCTTTTAAGCCATTTAGAAAAGAACAGGGATGCCATCCCGCCACATCCCGCCCCACCTCAAGCCCTGGACCTAAGTCTATTTAACAGCTTCCCTCTTCCATGTAAATATATATTTTCATGAATGAACGTCACTGTAAATAACCAGGAACATTTTCGGACTAATTCAGCTGTACAGTGTTAGCACAACAAACAAACAGACATTTTTATAGACAAATTACTAACTTCTCACGTTTTCAGGAAGTGCTGGCATCAACATTTTGAACAATCTACCATTTGGTATTACATATGAAAGGCATAATTTATAGTGATACTGTAATGACACTTAAATACAAATTCATTCTGGTCTGTTGATGAATTCATATTACCTAAAAATGAATCATAAGCTTCTTAAAGGTTTATATAAAGAGCGTAAGTGGAGACTACTGATGTATATGCATGGATCTACTAGAAACATTTAAATACCTTACATGAACCCCCTGTGAACTTTTATGTATTTTATGTGAAAGCTTCCGTTGTCCTCTCTCACTAATTTTGAATCCACAGATTTTAACACATGTATAAACAGCATCCATGTACCATATCAGTATCTGAAGAGAAGTAAAGTCTACAGTAACACCAACACCTGCACTCAAAAAAATCACAAGGGACAAGGTCTCACTGAAAGAACACAACTCACCAACTCAAACACAAATGCACATCAAGAGGACCTATATATATTTAACAACAGAAGACAGCAGTTTCCTCACCAAAAGATGTTAACACCTGGTGATGACCACATTGGTCGAAATATGTAGGGATGGACTTTCAAAGTTTTAAGAGTTAATACACTGTGCAGAATACAGTGTTGCAAGCGAGATTCTAACTAACTGACATTAAGTAGTTGATCTGTTATTAATATTCATAATGATGATCTCAATAATTGCATCTTTGTATTCAGTTAACCTTGAGGGAAAGATATTTGACAACATTCTGTATGAAGCTGATAACAGTGATATACCTTGATAATTACTACATTCAGTTTTATTGCCTCTCTTGTAAATTGATACAATAATATGACCTCCTCCACTGCTGAGATAATTTTTCCTTACTCTGAATGGCAACGATAAGTTTATGACAAGGAATTTTTCTCCTCTTTTGAATTAGTTCTGCTGGAATTAGAGCAATATCAGGAGATTTATACCTTTTCAGGTTTTCAATAGCCACTACCTTTCCATCTTCCTGACACAACTAATCCTATATATATTCAACAGCTGAGCTAATTACTTCACATATTCAAANAGTCTGCTTGACCGTGTCTCACGGTGTTGTCGCTTGCAGATTTACCTATACTTCTTCAACCCTGAAGATGGGGGCGATACGTTCCTCCGAAACGTCGGTTAACACCACATATACACGGTGCCAAATCCCAGAAGACTGCTTCCTTCATAGTCACCGCCATGAAAGCCTCAAATCTTACATCCTTACATTCTTGTTCTTACTGTCTGTTTCAATCACAAAATACTCCCTCTTTCTGTTCCTGCAATATCCGCATCCATTTGACTCAAATCCTGTAACCATTGGAATTCAGTGTATTTCCTTTGGATCTAACAGTTATCAGCATTCTTTGTCAATCCATGGCTTATACTGCTTCAATTTATAATACCCTAGACTCTCTTTCGACGAGATCTTGACTTTTTATCTAATACTTCCAAAAATCATAGTGATGTCACTGTTTCATCTAAGCTTTCCAGGGCTGTGAACCTGTTTCAGGTTTTAACTTCATATTGTTCTTTACCTCCCACACTGTTTAACTCACCGAGTTTTAATCTCTCCATATCTAAATTCAGAATAAAGACATGAAAGACAAACAAATGTACAAGAAAGAGCAGGTAATAGAAGAACTGGCAGACATCACTCAGAAAGAGGACATGACAACCCAAAGCATGAAGATTCCCATTGCTGAAGCACAGGCTGAGAAGAACATATAAGTGAGATGTTCTTCACAATTAGCAAACCTGGATGATGAATCATGGCCTTCAGAGTACCAATAGCAACGCCTTCTTTGTTGGAAACAGTGCAAGTAAGTCCTGTGTGGTCGGCACGGATCCACAGCTGGTACAGACTTTCTGCACCCCAGTCATACCTCCACACAGTGGGGTTAACATGCCCCCTGTGTGGCACTGTAACACTGGACACTTCTTCGAATTCAATAGTCATTTCCTCTTTACTGTTGTAGCTACATATGAAGTCAACCTTCGACCCAACTGGCTGGTTAACTAGATTTGGGTACAACTTCATTTCTAGACCTGGTCATTACAGAGCAACAGGAATAGTTATTTCAGATTAGCAGATGAACATAACAGGTTACTAAAAAACATAAAATTAAATTAAAATTAATAAAAGAGGCAACTTTAAGAACTGTTAATGCTTGCATAAAACCAGAAGGAATATTAACATTAGGGAAACTACATGATGTAAAAACAAGAACACGATAAAGGTTTGCAATTTAAGGTGACATTGGTATGTAAATCAAGATAGTGAATTTCAGGTATTAAGGTTCAAAGGGCACATGCATGGACAGATATATGATAAAGGGTGTATGCAAAGATGGCATAATAGGTCCTTGCAAGGTTTCCTAGTTTTGATCTGTGATGAGAATTAACAAACCAGTGAAAAATAAAATAAATAAGAAACAAACTTTGGAGAATGAATATAAACAAACATTTTTAATATTTTTAAGGATTGCATCCTGTTGCATATATACAATGAACATATATACAACACCTATACAACTTTGAAAGATAAGTTTTATATCGTTTTAAATATCAAATTGTGGATTTAGGATCACCTAATTATTAAATTAGGTTTGACCTATCATTATGAATATGACTGTATCACATGTATGATTTTTATGTTGATTTTTATTTTTAAGTTTTGTAAGTTTTGTATACATTATGAATCAAATAGAAACTAATTTGTATGAACCTTTTAGAAGAGTGGGAATCTTAATGTATCAATTCAGTAATAGTATGTGAGAAACTTGCAGCTCCTGAAGATGACCCATTTGGGGTCGATACATGTAGTGTGTGTTTTATAAATAAATAAATAATAAAGTATTGTTGCATTGCCAGTAAAAATTATACAACTTTCTTTAACTCATTTGATAATATAATTATAATCTTGCACTGCCAGGAATAGACCCTGGGCTGTCTGTGCTCTTGCAACTGCATACAGCTCAGACTATATAGTGTAAAACAGTATGATGACATGAACAATCTCTTGGACAAGATAAAGCAGAAAATTCTCTGACTTGAAATACTATTTCACACTTGTCTGCAGGAAATGAGGAATGCCATGAGAAACCTCAGTCATAATACTCAGCATCCTGGTCAAGATCTGAACTGGGGACCTCCCATATATAATTGAGGAGTGTTGCCACTCGGATGATTTCGGTCCTCACTCACCAAACATTAATGACACTTATCCATCATACAGGAGTTTCATACACTGGTGCAGGAGCCCATTCTACTGGCCATGGCACTCCCAACACAAGTGAGAACCCATATACCTGTAACTCAGTCGCATTTTGTGGTCCACATCTCAGCATTGTGTGAACGATGTGAACAGCAGACACACCTAGGGGAAGTCTGGTGAAGATCATTACACACTGGCACCACTATACACTAAATATCTGGGAGTTCATCACATTCAAATATGAATTTACCTCCAAAGTCCAAGACAACGCAAGTATGCATATCCCAGAACACACATGCAAGTCACACAGTACAGTAATCACATGAAAAACAGGAACTCCCCTTCTTTATATTACAAGAGAACTTCATGTTTGTGGGTTGTTTTATGTTTTATAGCACTGGAATGGTAGGCATGATGACATGGAAAGGATTTGGGAGTGATCATTGCTTAATCAAGGTACTACCCGAGAATTCGCCTGCAGCAATTGAGAAAATTCATGATAAACCTCAAACAGGATAGATAGCCTATGTCCCACCTTAGTTTCAAAGTGAGGACTCCCTGGATTTAAATTCAGGGGTTACTCCTGGGATAACCTATTTTGTACGAAACTTCTGAAATGTCCCTTGTACATAAACACATAAAAAGACTTTATTATTCACTTACCAACACTGTCACAGTATCGACCTGTGTATCCTGGCAGACACTTGCAAGTGACACGACCATCATATGAGAGAGAGCAACTCTCCTCCTTCGCATTGCAAGGACACTTCGTGCATGCACCAAGCACACTGGCAGAGCGATCGTTGAAGTCTCGATAATATCCCGTGGAACACAACTGAAATTCAGTACTACATTATCTTCCTGAACAGTTTCTCACTCTCCCTAATTCAAAATCTGAACACCAAAGGAATGCTTTACATCTACATACTAAGAAAAATTCCAAAAAGATATATCACATTACTTCGAACATAAGACGCACATTTTACAATTTTCTCCCACTGAAAATACGAATTGTCTTAAATTCGAAAAATGTGCACCTTTCTAATTTTTCCCCCAAAACTCACATTCAAAAAACTGGATGCTTCTTAAATTCAAGGGCGAATTATATCCAAAGTAATACAGTATATATTTATATTGTGTCATGAAGACACACTGCTAGGCTTTCAATAAGATCCACAGCTTTATCTGAAATAGAACAGCAACAATTTTTAACTCTATAAAGTGTGGTATCTGTAACAGATAACTATCTTTGCAACAGAAGAAAGTAAGTATCCACAAAAAATTAACAGATAACAAAATCAGAACCTAATTCATGAGGAAATTAAGAGACTGAATTCAGGTAATGCTTGCTACCATTCAGTCCAGAACCTTTTGTCTTCTCGTCTGCTGTCTAAAAACATAAAAATTAGAAGCTCTTTATTACAACCGTCAAAACACAACAAATATCAAGATCAGTGCCTAGTTTCAGCTCTGCTACATGTTTCGGCTATCAGTAGCCGTCATCAGGCAAATACGTGGTTAACATATATACACCACTGAACTGCAGTAATAGTAAAATTGGATACAATACTATTAATTATATAAAACACTTGATTTAAAATACAATAAATCAGATTATATAAAACAGAAGTTATAGTATAAAACATGAATAAAATTCTTAGACTGATGTTTTATATCATCGAATCAGTCATTGGTTTTGTAATTTCGTTGCGTTCCCACGGACAAATTGGAATATTCTATATTTTGTGTATATAAAATTGTATAGGAGGCTCATGATGAAGATGTAGTAAATTCATGTTAATTGTTTAGTCGGTGCCTCATCTTACAAAGTATTGTCCATTCTGTAGGGAATGACAACAATGACTCGATGCATGACAACAGGATGCATGAAATGAAAATCATAAAAATTAGAATATACAAAACTATAATTTTGCCTGTCATTCTGTATGGGTGTGAAACTTGGTGTCTAACAGTAAGGAAGGAAAATAGACTGATGGTGTCTGAGAACAGGGTGTTGAGGAGAATATTTGGACCAAAGAGAGATGAAGCGATGGGACTTTGGAGAAACTGCATAATGAAGTTCATAAATTGTACTCTTCTCCAAGTATAATTAGGAAGATCAAATAGCAGAGGATGAAATAGGTGGGGAATGTAGCATCTATGCGGGTGAAGAGGAATGCATAAAGCATATTGGTGGGAAAACCAGGAGGAAAGAAACCACTAGGAAGACCAAGATGTAGGTGTGCGGACAATATCAAAATGGAGCTTAGAGAGATAATATGGTACGGTATGGTATGGTATGGTATGGTATGGACTGAATTGAATTGATCTGGCTGAGGACAGGGACCAGTGGAGGGCTCTTGTAAACATGGTAATAAATCTTCGGGTTCCATAAAATGCTTGTGAGTTCTTGAGTAGCTGCACAACTAGCAGCTTCTCAAGAAGAGCTCAGCTCCATGAGTGCATTGAGTGAGTGAATGAGTGAAAGATTATTATATTACTAACAGAATTAGTTTCATATTTTGGAAAAATGAAGATATCAAAAACTAATAAAGCATAATGCATACATACATGGGCGCTCAACAATTGCTTACCTCACATGAAGTCCCTCTGTAGCCTGGGGGACAATGACAGTTCTCTACTTCAGTGACCAATCCCTGTTCTGTGTACTGTGGGACAGCAGTGTCCAGAGAGACATCACTGATATAAGTACTCCTCGTCTGTGAGCTGAGTGAGGCCCGAACCAAGATGGCTTCAACGTCAGACAAGACAGTAAGCAGATCAGCCCTAGATGCCACTTTCTGTCCTGCTACCTGGTCCAAACGACGCCATACATTCTCCACCAATGGTATAGAGAAAGTCTGAAATTACAGGAAATGATACAAAACAATTTTATACATATGGGTGGTTTCTACAAAAGCGTCTTGCAGAACAAACAGCTGGTAATCCTGCAAAGATTTATATCATACTCACTCTGTGACACACATGAAGAAAAATATATGCCAATAAACTAAAACCAACCAATCAATCAAATTTTTTCTCCAGTTACCTGACGAATGAAAGAAGTCTGCTCAGTAGTTGATCTGCTATGTCAAAACCCACAGTGATGACCTCCAATAATTTCATCTATATACTCGTATGCACTTAACCTTGAGAGAAGGACATTGGATAAAATTTTGTAAGAAATTGATAGCAGTGATATCCCATGATAATTACTATACTCAGTTTTATCAACCTTCTCGTGAACTGGTAAAATAATGGACTCCTTCCACTGATCAGGCAAGTCTCCCTTATTCCAAACAGAAATAATGAGTTTATGGATCAACAAGACATAACAAATACAACCAACCACTGCTCGATCAGAAATAACTTCATTTATATTGGTCCAGTAAACAGAGATGCCACTGCCATAGATGATAACATCAGTGTCAGAAGAGGGGCTTGCACCAGCAGGCTGGTTTCTGTACAGCTGCGTCACTGTCAGGTTGCCACCATACGAGGTAATCTGAAAGAAGAAAAAGCCATGTCCTCAGACAAACATTTTTTTATGTCCTGGATACTTCTGTATCACATTCACATTTTGGGCAGAAGTAGCAATCACAAATGAGATATTTCTCTGTAATGCACTTACACTTTTAGGAGTGGTGTGGCATGTCATGCCCACAAATCAAAACATCTTTACACTGGACTATATGTGTGTGACTGCCATCATCATATAAGTATTTAGGGTGTCCCACATATACTTTAAAAGAACTCTTTTATCCAGCACTGAATAAAAAATGTTTTGGATAAGGTTTGTCTGGTGTCAAGGAAGATACAAAATCATATACAATTTGTTTATAACATTTGTTTGCTAATGACATATCAAAGTCACTAGCACTTTTTAAAATGGCACCTATATTTTTTTGTTTCACATATATAAAACTATCATTATAAAGTGCTATTCTGATTATAACAATATGCAACATCAGTCAAATATCGGAAATGTCAACTGGAATGAATAACTTGGTAGTTTGTGCCAACAGAAGGATGTACAAAAGTTGTTCAAAGTGTTGGCTGAAGTTCATGCAGAGTTGCAATTGCTGGATGAATGACTGCCTTGATCAATCAGTTACTTGTAGTTTCATGACGCACACTCATCAATAACACACTGCAGCATATGATACAGTGTTCTTGGAATATCCTGGTAGGCATTTCTTTTAAATTCCTCTCCACCTTCCACAAAAAAGGTGTGATGTCAGGAGAATGAGCAAGCCAAGTTCCACAGCTTATGACACAATGGAGCACCTCTTCTACACCTTTCTGTTGGCTCAAAATACATCACTCATTCAGACTGATAGTTCAAATATTTGACTTCTACTGAATACTGTCATATACCATTTTAATCAGAATGGTATCTTGTGGTCAAATAAAACATATTGGGTGCCATTTAAAAAGTTCTAGTGATCCTCATATTGCATAAACAAACAAATGTATAACCAAATTGTACATGGTACCATGTGACCCAGCAACCAAACAACCTTCATCTGACACTTTTTATACCAAATAAATGAGTTATTTCACATAATAAAGATAAATGGGACACCTTATATAGAAGTAACAAGAATGTTAGACACATCATAAATGCAAATCAAAAAGACTTTTCTCTCATAGTGTGGTAATTATGCACACTATTAAAGCAATTCTCAAGTGTAGCCACCCGCTACATTCAAAAATCAAGTTTCTTGCCAAAAACCTTCTCCTGGTCTTCCAATGAATTTTCTTCATAATAAGTAAGTCGGTCATTCCTGTAACAGGCTGTGAAGACCCACAGGTTTGTGAGAGGTTGAGGTTCCCACATCCTCTAGACAATCGGCTTACAGATGGCAGTAAGGTTGTGAGCCTTACGCACCGGCCACCCTTTACACCCACGAAGATTCCTGGTACTCATTTCTGTTAGAGGCTGTGTCAACCCTAGTCACAGAGCTGTTGGAAGGATTAGGTAAATTGAAAAAATCCACCTCCTTGGGGCTCGAACCCACGAACTTCCAGCTTGTAGTATAGTGCCTCAACCAAGCTACTGAGTACCCCAATTTTCTTCATATCTTCCAAAAATTCATGAACTATTTTTGTGCTGTATTGTGGATCTGTGTTACATGGCTGCAGCCCTTCACCAAGGAGCTGTAAGCCTGAATCAAGGTAACGACACGCCCATCACGCTCTGCTTCAAGCAGTAAATTCATAACAATACTCTCTACAGAATATGTTTCTAAATTTTCAATGCAGAAGTGAGAAAATTTTTTCTTCAGAATTTCTGTTCTAGCATGCAATTTCATTTGAAGCTAAATGTTGAACTGTTCTGGGTCTGTTACTAACCCTGTTTCCAGTAAAAGCTGGAGGCAGTGACCAGAACAGACTCTGACTGCGTCCCAGTGGAAACTCGTATCCAATTTCATTGCTTCTCTCGTTCACATTTAAGCCTTCATCAATTACTTCATTTCGGTTTCTGAAAATAAAGAAATATTGACGAAATTCAAGAAAGGTCTAAACTTATGTTAAATTCCTTAAGTCAGTGGTTTAAATACAAAGGCTTATCCCTAAATTTGAGGAAAACTAAAGTGTTAAAATTTGAAACAATCAATCACGACAATATGCCTGTATATTTAAAGTTTAACGATGAATTATTACAAGAGGAAATTCATGTTAAATTTTTGGCATTGAAATTGGTAAGTTCTTGAATTGGAAGACACAGGTTGAATCACTGTTACCCAGATTGGGAAAGGCATGTTATGCAATACGAATTATGAAAACATATAGTAATGTTACAACACTTAAAATGATACATCATGCATACTTTCATTCACTCATGGGATATAGAATAGTTTTTTTGGGGTAATTCGTCAGAGGCCAAGAAGATCTTTCTCTTATAAAAGAAGACTATTAGAATAATAATGGGGATGAAATTGGCCAGAATTTATAAAATTAAATATATTAACACTGGTCTCTCGATATATTTTATCTTTGATGACTTTTATGATAAATAACTTGGGAGTATTTTACTTTTAATTATTTATGAGAGACTGACAAGACAGAAAGAAATTTACATGTCCTACAATCACATCTCGCAATGAGGCAGAAAGGGGTCCATTGTGTGAGCATAAAAATATTTAACAGTCTGCCTGATTATTTAACTGATTTAGTACATGATAAAAAAAACAGTTTATAAAAGAAACAAGGGATGTCCTAATACATAATCCATCATATACTGTTGATGAATTTTTGCTCTTCTGTCGGGATCAACAGCTAAGGAATAGAAGGGGAGTGCATGCTGACTGATGGATGTCCCACAGTAGGCATCAATATAGACATTAAGTGTAAATATAATCTGTATTTTATGTATTTATTTAGATGCATGTTGTTTGCATTTATGTTTGTTTGTTATTGTGATATGGCATGTTGGAATTGTAAAGATGTATTGTTGTTTGTAAAGCTTGTCACATGTTTCATATTCAGTGCAGATTGCACTTATGAATATCCTGAAATGCAGATGTATGTATGTATCTTGTCCAAACAAAACTTCTGGGTACACAATTCTGTCAGTAACAAGAAATAAACTTAAAATGGAAACAACATTCATGGCCAACAATATTATACCGCAGCATCCTGCTGCACTGTGTATTTTAACTTTGTGCCCCCACTCCTCACCATCTTTGTGCAACCTCATTGATATATTAATGTTCACACATCTTTGTCTCTTAGGCTACATGCATCTGCCTAACTGGCCTTCATCAGGTTGTTGTTTGGTTGAAGGAACCTGCTGCTCTGCTGATACACTGTTCTGCTGTTCATTTCTGTAAATGCTTTGGAAAACCATGAATGACCACGATTGCCAGCTGCCAGTAGCAAGCTTCCACTTCTACAGAAACACTCAGAAGAGCCACATACACACACAGCACAAACGAATAAATCAACGAAAACATACACCACACATACATAAAAATGATAAGATAAATACAACATAAAATATTGCAAAGCATTTACAAAAATAAAAAGCAGCGAGTCGGCAGAGCAGGAGGTTCCTATTTCTCATTATACTTGAGTTACATAATGTGATTTAATTCTAATGTGATCAACTAATTTAGATCAGTTATGATCAATGCCAATTGCAGGTTGGTCTATCTCAAGCCATGGAGAAATGGGAAGTACTGTGCAGGCAGGGTATTGAGAAATACAAGATATGAAGGGGAATGTTGGCAGACCTGCAGAACATCTGCACATGTACTAATGCATGAGAAGTCAGAGCACGGGAAGCAACAAAAGGCAGATGATTATATAATGTAGTTATATGTACAGCATGTAAATTAGTGGAAGTGCTATAATCATTTGTAGTTCCACATAATAAGCATTCAATAAAGTTAATAATCAACCCAAACCCTGTACCCACTAACTGACACACGAGAACATTTTACGTCTGTATCCAAAGATAGCAGAGCACTGCCTAATACTACAACACCTTCTTATATAGCTTATATTTTGGTTCATATTTCCATGATAGCAATCTGATGTTCAGACTGGATGAGTCTGATACTCCACATAACATTGCAGCTGGCGCTGTCTGACTCATTCTTAGTGGCAGGATGTTCTGGGGAGTATTGCCATGGGGTACAAAAGGAGAGCATAACATACTTTTAATATGCCCTACTGTGGTACACTGCGACAACATTAAAAAGCCCATGGGTACAGTACATAAACTCAGTCTCTTTACTTATTATACTAGTCCATGGCCATATTAAATGATAATTTAATCAGGTACATAAAAAATATTCTTTGAATACCTGAGCTGTATGTGCAGGCGCACTTAAGTTATGTTAGTATGCAGCATACCTGTCTGTTAAAGTAAAGCCATGAGTCGAGTCAACCACCTGCATTGGGATCTGAGTTCGGTACAGGTTTGCCTGTTGACATGTGTCTGTCACTCCACTACAGAAACATTCCAAACAGCCTTCAATGTGCTTCTCAGACAACGAAAAGGTTCCAGGGCGACAGCGATCACAGTTCCTTCCTTGAACATTTGTCTGCAAGAACCATGGAACTGATTAATACAAGTGCATACTAATGTAAATTAACAAAAAAGAACATATTTACAGTTACACTGACTTGGAACCTACAGAAAACCATGTAACAAAACCATCTAAATGTGTAAATATAGTGTAACGTGTCGGGTTACTGAAGACGCCATTCGGATTGTTAATTGGTTTATTCAACAACCTACAAGTAACGGCTACAATTAATTATCACACAGTTGCGGGGTTTTACACTTTATAACCCTAATCGCATTAATCTGTTAACACTGTTGCGGGGTTTCACGATTTATAACCCTATGCGCAAATCAGTTCACTCTGCCTTCAGTAGTCTACACATTTACAGTAGGGGAGCTATGTATCACTGTATCACACACTCACAATTACACACACGACCGGTTCTTCTTTCCGCGACGGCTGCTATACTCCAACTGTAGTCTGCTGACTGGAGAACTGCTGATAACACACTCGCTCGTAGGCTTGCTCGGAACTAACTCGGAACTGAACTCGGCGATGGCCACATTACAACAACCCTCCTCGCAAGCAGTGCAGCTCTCTTATATAGGGGCTGTGTGGGCCTGTTATGTAGCAACGCTGTTACCTCACGCCGTCTTACATCACCACACGTTGTGTGTTACGTCACCGTGCGGAGGGGGGGGGGGAGCGCTGACTCATCCGCCACGTCACTGTGGCCTGAGCTGCCACGTTGCTGCTGGGTAGGGAGGGGTTCTCTGTTGCGCAACATGTCACAATAGATACAATGATATACATGTTTCAGCCACAAAGGTCATTTTTAGGCATTTCTGCACATTCATTATGTACTATAACATAAGCGGCCTCTGTAGTCTAGGGGTAACATTCCCACCTCATGACTCAAGGTATGTGGGTTCAAACCCGGCGGAGGTCGTGGAATATCAAGGGCAGAAAATTTCTGGGAACAAGTCCTCTGGGAGGGACTTTAAGCCGTGTGTCCTGTGTCGTAGATTTACGGCACGTAAAAGATCCTCATGTCTCTAGGAGACCTCTGAGCAAAATTAGGCAACAATTTCCTGCCCAAGTAGTTTCCAATGCCTCTGGTAGATGGGGAAAATATCAGGTACTGACGGCCGACCTCGTTGGCTGAACAGGGCTGATAGCACGCACCAGTACTGGTAGGGTATGGTGACAGTCGAAATTAAAGGGGGACGCACAATGGACCAATAACTGGTCTAAGTGCATGGGGAAACCCACCCACTCTAATAATAATACTATACATAACTGTGGTTCTGCATTATAAAATCATACCTTCTTGTAACATTTGATATACTTTTGCTGTCTCTGGTGTCATAAAACAGCTGGAACCACTATGTACCTCTTTTGTTATGCTGCTCATAAGGTTCACATTTTTGCTTGTCTTCAAATATTAGACTCTGTTAACTAGAAGGCTAGAAAAGTGAAAGTATGGGAATTTTGGAGAGACTGGAGAGAAAATTCTTTGTTTTATACATCAGTTCCAAGCCCGTCCATTGTGTCTGCAAGAAAAACTGCCCTTTCTACAGTTGCAACCCAACACTTTGATCATAGCTGAGATACAGAGTGCATTCAGTTTCTTGCGAGTTCAGGGGTTGTGGAAGCTGTACTTTCCAGCCAAATAATTTTAATTTGCCGTTTTTTGGGGTAACATTATATAATTAAATTGACTGCACTATAGAAAACTAAAGTCATTAAATTGAAACTGCACAAAATTAAACTTGCCCTAGCAGTTGGCAATCTTAGCATACATTCTCACAGCACTTGTATGTAATTCAACGGTACAAACCTTGCAAATGCACTGGTTACCATCCGGACAATCGGGTCGAATGCTGCCTCTGTCATCACACCTGCACTGGGGAAGAGGTCCGGATGGTAGACAGTCTGACCGAGTTCCCTGTGTGGCATCTCCTGAATACCCAGACTCACAGATGTCGCACTGATCACCAGTTGTGTGGTCTGCACAATTCTGAAGAGTAACAACATATACACAGCCATATCTACACACTCAGAGGGTCATAAGCTCACAATTCACAAAATAAAGCTTGAATTGCAAATGAAGGAGAAAAATTATAAAAGGTTATCTACTCTGTCCAGTGTGACTGATAAATGTTTTTCGTAATCTTTCATCCTTGACATGTTTCGGCCTGAGAGACCATCTTCAGAAGTATACATCAACACAGGAGAAAACCACTATTACATTGTTATTGGTCAATATCAATACATGCATACAATATCATTACAATGTCATGAATATAAAATCTGACCCTTTAACAACTACAGCGATCTGCATGAATTATGGCGTATTGGCCCTATGCAGGAACTGTTGAGCCACAGAGGGCACGCACACAACAGGAAAGTTGTGGATTGTATTGGTGCATTGCTAGGAGACAACTCTGTGAACGCTTGGATTGCACAACAGGGAAGTCCGTGCAGAGACTGTTGCTAGGCAATCAGTAAACACGACATCATGCAACAGTGGTAGCTATCACATAAATGTTTTCTGTGTTGTCAGTGCAGAAGCTACATAACGAGGAGTATTTGTCAGAGAGTTACTAGTATTGAGTTACGAGTATTAGAGTGTTTGCTGAAGACAGTGGAAGTTGCAAGATGAAAACTTTGGGTAAGGCAGTAACTGTGATACTGCAGATGACAGTAACTGTGAAATTGTGAACTGTTTAAGTGTAAGAGCGAAGCGGCCTCCATAGTCTAGGGGTAACGTTCCTACCTCATGACTCAAGGTACGCGGGTTCAAACCCGGCAGAGGTCGTGGAAATTTTAAGGGCAGAAAAATTCAGGGAACAAGTCCTCCGGGAGGGACTTTAAGCCGTGTGTCCCATGTCATAGATTTACAGCACATAAAAGATCCTCATGTCTCTAGGAGACCTCTGAGCAAAATTAGGCAAAGTTTCCCGGCCAAGTAGTTTCCAATTCCTCCTGTAGATGGGGAAGTATTGGGGACCATTGCCAGAGAGGGCCGACCTTGCTGGCAGAACGGGGCTGATAGCAAGCACCAGTACTGGAAGGTCATGTCAACTAGTAGAATAATTATAGGGGGATACACAAGAGATCAACAACTGGTCGCAGTGCATGGGGACCCCCCCCCAAAATAATAATAATAAGTGTAAGCGTGAGTGTGGAATAAATTCACTAGGTCCAAAGGGGCGTGAAGTTGAAGAAAGCAGTCTTCTGGGATTTGGCACCGTGTATATGTAAAAGCAGACTGCTTTTACCGGTTCTCACGGTCTCTTCGCTTGCAGATTTCTTATATTTTTTCTTCTACCCTGAAGATGGAGGCGATACGTTCCTCCGAAACGTCGGTTAACACCACATATACACGGTGCCAAATCCCAGAAGACTGCTTTCTTCATAGTCACCGCCGTGAAAGCCTCAAATCTTACGGGCGTGAAGTTATTTGTCGCAATAAAACACCCAACACGTGGTATTAAAATATATATAAATTATTATAATTAGTTTCCTTACAAGTATGGTTTAAAAAACTTTGTTCAAATCTAGAACCAGTTTGGTTTGTGTCCTTTATGCTGCTTCCCTTCAAAAGAGGTATAAGGTATAAAGCATAGGAACCAAATTGGTTCTAAATTTTAACAAACACTTTTTAAACCAAACTTGTAAACAAGTATTACAATTTATAAACATTTTAGTTTGTTCATGCATATCACTGTAGTTGTTAAAGGGTCTGATTTTATATTCATGTAATGATATTGCATGTATGTACTGATATTGACCAATCACACTGTAATACTGGTTTCTGCCTGTATTGATATATCGTTCTGAAGATGATCTCTCAGACCGAAACATGTCAAGGATGAAAGAATAAAAAAAAAAATTATCAGTCACACTGGACAGAATTGATAGCCTTTTATAACACTGCTAGTGTGACAGACCAGGATGAACCAAATCACATTTACAGAATGAGAAATGACGCAACATGTCAGAAGATGTGATCTGGTGAGGAAGACATTCTTTGGGCTGGGTGGTGAGGGAGGGCAGACTAAAGCAGGAATACTGTCATGTAAGAACGGTATAAGACAGAGAAATGGAAGTGGAGGAAAGGACAAAAAAGAAAAAAGGAAGAAGAAGAAGAAAGTGGGGATAGGAGTCTGAGAACAGAAAAATGTAATAAAAGAGGTGAAAAAAGGAAGCGGAGAAATGTGACAAGATAATAAAAGTAACAGTGATAATGACTCACTTGCACATTACAAGTCCCATTTGGATTTACATTGAGTATATTACAGTTCAAGAAGATTCAGTACTGTTCAGTCATAAATCTACTTAAAGGAAAAATAACGTCTGCTTGCAAGATTTGAATATTTCTACATACACAGCAAGCATATTTTTAATGGCTTCTCACATACATAAAAAATATATAAGCTTCATCTGAAGCTACAACAAATTTGAGGAATGAAAATATCTCACTTATTACAAACTCATACCTCTCTCATACCTCAACCTCATACCATACTCTCAGAAGCCGCAGAAAAATTAATTTAACAAAATCCTTATGCCTGAATACTACAAGGGTTATTCAGAAAGCAATCTCTGGTGAGCTGTTACCAAAACAATGAGAAGAAAAGTTATTATACATAGGCCGGATAAAAAGTAGTGGCAACACCTCTATAGTTCTGAAATTACTTCATCACCTGAGGTAAACACACTTACATTCCTTCAATATAATCGCCCCCCATGTGTACCACCTTCTGCCAAATTTGTAGAAGGCGTACACCATCAGCGCATCCACTTCTGTTGATGTCCAGCAGTGACCGCCCTACAGCACGAATAATCTCTCTTGTGTTGTAACGTGTCCCTCGCAGTGGTTCGTTCATTTTCGCAGAGATCATAATCGCACGGACTCATATCGGGTGAGTATGGTGGATGTTGCAGTATCTCCCATCGCCAGCGGCAAAGGAGATCCTTAACAGCATCAGCAGTATGAGCCCTTGCATTGTCATGAAGGATGATGGGGTTCGTTGCCAACAAGTGTCGTCGCTTTCTCCTGAGTGCTGGACGAAGATGATTAAACAGGAATTTGCAGTAGTAGGCAGTGTTTAATGTCTGTCATTGTGGTACAGTGTGGTGCAGTATCACTCCATCAATGTCATATGCCACAATGAACATCGCCTTCACATTACTCTGTGTAGGGCGCACTTTCTTTGGACGAGGAGAGCCAGCATGCTTCCAATCATCTGATTGTTGCTTGAAGTGCGGTTCGTATGAGCGAGCCCAAGTTTCATCCAGAGTGGAGATCCTTCCAAGGAAGTCATCACCTTCCTTCTGGTACCGGTCCAACAAGTCCTGTGCAATTGCATAACGTTGCCATTGTTGCACCTCGGACATTGTATGGGGTACCCAACAGGCTGCAATTTTGCGGTATCCAAGAATATCATGTAGAATGTGGAGCACAATTTTGTGACATATACCTACCTCAGCAGCTAACTCCCTCACAGCCCATCGACAATCGACATCAAGCAAAGAAGCAAGAAGCTGAATTGTGTGGATGTCAAATTGGGGTCGTCCTGAACAACGGCTGTCCTGAAGGGCATCCCTCCTTTCACGGAACAATTTCACCCACCGTGCCACTGTGCGATATGGCAAAGCAGCATCACCACATGCTTTTTGCAGTCCATGATAACAGTTTTGTGCACTATAACCTCGTGAAACTTCAATTTTTATCCAGGAGCACTGTTCTTGTTTTATAAACATGTTCTTAGGGCGCTAGAACTTGGCTCCTGCACTTCATGACAATGCACAATGCAACTCAATGAAACTCAACCACAACCACTCACTGCACTACTTCAACTGAACTTCGGCTATCAGCTACAGACAGCGCTAGTGCCACCTGACGCACATCTTTCATGTTACAGCAGTTTTATCCAACCCTTGTATACAAAACATACATACATACAAACTTAAGCTAGTCTCAACATAGACACTGCTGAATTTGTTGCACTTGTCATATCGAGGAATAAGTTCTTGTATGCTCGTGTCAAAGAAGTCTACTGCCCATAAGCTCAGCCACATTTTATATTGTGAAATCCAGCCTAATGCTCCCCCTTGACAATGCACGTCAGCATATAGCTGCTCACATTCAAGAACTGCTGGAGCATTTCAACTGGGAGCTCTCTGACCACCCTGATCTTCTTCCAAACAACTACCATCTGTTTACCTACACGAAAAAATGTCTGGGATCATAGCACTTCAACAGTAATAAGGAGTTGATAGAAAGTGTCAAAATATGGCTGAGCTCACTTCTCTGACACAGGCATATGTGAACTTATTCCCCGATATGACAAGTTCCTCAATACTGGTGGTGACTACATCGAGCAGTAGCTTATGTATGTACGTACTTTTTGTATATAATAGCATTTTATTTTCTCGCTGCTTGTTTTGCTAACAGCTCACTGGACACTGCTTACCAAATAGCCCTCATGCTATGACTGAAACGTTAATTAAAAAAAAAAATCATTTATAATACAGAGCCAGAAAAGTTACTGGAAATCTTTCATCTGTTTGGAAGTGTAAGTAATCTCAAAAGCAAGCATTACATACTATGCAAAATCCTGTTTCTGGATCACACTCATTGGAATGTCCATGGCAATTGCAAGGTTCACAGGTTCCTAAGTACAGTCCACCTTCAGAACGAGTATAGCCAACATCACAGTCCTCACATGACAAGCCGCGGTGGCCTACTGGACACTGACACTGCTCCACTGCCAGAGCACGCACCTGTCCAGTGTTACGCTCTTCAGCAATGTCTAGAGACACCTGAATGAGACTGCAAACAAAACATGACATGCAGTTAACATTACAGATTGTAGAAAGTTCAGTTCCCTTTGACTCCCAATCCAAAAAATCAATCATAAATATTCTGCATGGACTTTTGATAAGTACCTCTTATCTTCACCATACCTCATGTATAAAAGCAAGGTCTTCTGGGCTGTCATGCTGTGTAGTTCAGAGAGTAAGCCTTACAATTTGGAGGAACAAATCATCTCCATCTTCCCAGAAACCAGAAGAAGAAGTTGGCTTGCCAAACTCTTTAATCTACACAGTGTCACATCGCACAAAACCACTACGAGAACTTTAAATCCACCAGATTTCATGTGTGCCTAGATCTGATAAGACAGGATTTGTATCATATATCATGCAAGATACCTAAATGAAAATCTTTTCACATTAACAGTGTATTATTGCTGCTAACAAACAAAGACGAAAGTTACATTACAGATGCCTTCAACTACTACACTTGCTTCATCTTGCAGATACTCAATACAGTTAGTCTACAGCAGCTTAGACTTGTAGTCCTTTCTGATCTGCAGATATAGAAAGATAAATGTACTGGCGTGAACAAATCATGTCATACCACATGTTTCTCTACACCCATCTCCACAGTACAGTGGTGAGTAACCAATCCTCTCTTCAACCTGATCAAGTTAATCCAATTATCTCACTTCTGATAGAGTCCACACTAGTCATTGCTTGGTAGTGGCTTCGAACGGTAGACATTCCCTTTCCTATGGGTTCCCAAACTGCCCGTGGCCTCAGCTAAAAGCTTCTCAGAGAAACAGCTCACAACAATTGAACACAAGCTCATTTAATACTGACATCTGCTGTAAAATTCTAATAAAATTTAAATTGGAAAATACCATGTCAAATAAAATATAATGTCTTGAAAGGAATAAAATGCTTGTCATTTTAACCCAAATTCGTGTAAATAAACCTAGTCTATCATCAAACACCTAACAAACTGAACAACTGGCAACACTTACGCAGCCTCCCGTGTATTGGTTGTGTACGTGGCTTTAATGAGAATAGCTTCCACATCAGCCAATGCCATGATGAGGTGCTCCCTGTTCGTACTCTGGCCATCGTGGCGTTGCCAATATTGCTCCAATATGGGCACTGAGATCGACTGCGGTCGATTAGGTTCTATCTGGTCTCTCCCAAAATACAGCAACTGGATGTCATTTGACTATGTGGAACCAAAGATGTAAATATATATGGAATATTCACTGAAGTGTAAAAGGCTACACTCTATCAAGATATTGTATCACTGTTCTCAATAACCAATTGGTAACTTGTAAGTGAAGCCAATTCTAATGAAGTTGTACTAACAAGATAGGGAAACGTATTCAGTAATGGAATATCCAACATTTGTAAAGGTGCCCTTTAGTATTACACAATGCACATCCTGAACATGAAAATAATGCTACTGCTTAAAAGGTCATTACCCAGACCACAGTCATTCCAAGATAACACCATCTACCTTGAATTGATATACACTAAAATTCTTGTGACGAGCTTTCTGAGACAAATTTGTGCAGAGTTTGTAAATATGCCAAGTTCTAAAACTGAAGGGTTGATTTACTTAATTTTGTGCTACTCTGAAAGAAAAATTAGTTTTCTGCATAAACCAAATGATTGTTTACAGCTGCAGATACAAGTAAATGGCTCCTAGAAACACAAACATAATCCATCAGTTTCAGTGTAACGTACAGTGATATTCTGATATGCAAATGAACTTACGCTGATCAGCTCCACATCAGGAGCATTGTTCCTTGAACTCTGACCACCAGGTGTTGGAACATACCGAACTGTATAGTTCAGATAACCACCATAAGATGTCACTTTATCACCAAGGAACTGTGGTGGAAGCAGCCAATAGTACACCTGAAACAAGAGCCTGAAGGTTGAAAGAGACGGAACTCAGTTCTTTAAATTATTCATGACCTGTTTACCAAAGCTGTCAACAGCTGAGGCTGCACTGAGTCAGATGGTAGGATGGATTGATGGATGGGAAAGGATGAGGCAGTGATCATGAGCTAATTAAAGACACTATCCTAATAGGTTGGTTGAGGCACTATGCCACAAGTTGGAAGGTAATGGGTTTGAGTCCCGATGAGGTGGATTTTTCAATTTTCCTAATCCCTCTAGCCACACTATGGCCCTGGGGTCAACTCAGCCTCTGACAGCAATGAGTGCCAGGGGCATAAAGGATGACCATCACGTAAGACTGACAATATCACCACCATCTGTGAGCCAGATGTCTACAAAATGTGGCAGCCTCAACGTCTCACAACCCTATGGGCCTTCACAGGCTGTTACTGGGATAGCTTCACTTTTTTTATCCTAGCATTCTGCTGGAAGGACTGAGGATAACCATTAACAACCCCATCCAGAACTGTCAGTGGGCTAAGTGAAATATGAACAAGGTATCTCCTAAATACAAACCAGAAATTTTAATGCCTGCAACAATTTGCTCACTCCAGAACTCATGCATCATTCAATTGCTTCATGTCAAGGCAAAGAAAAACAACATTGTCTCATACAGTCTACAGTAAACAGAATACTTTGTCTTCATACAGAATTTCTCATTTTACATAGGATTTGTTTGAATGTTACCTGGTTATTGCATGGAAAGTCTCTGTCTTTGCTTACATTCAAAACACATTTTGAGACACCCAAACCTTATTTAACTGAATATTTCCACGTTCAAATACCCAAAACATACCTTGCCTACAGTTCGCTGTTACAGTTGTAACTTTATCAACCCAGGCACAGGATTCGTAAATGTTTCTCATACATTTAAGCTACAAAAAGGGTCATTCCCATACAGAAATATGTACAGACGGAAAATGTAAATTAACTAAAATAATGCAATTTCTTTATTAGAACTGTCACAACACAGCTACATTAAGGCCGGTGCCAAGCTTGGCTCTGCTACATGTTTCGGCTATTAAAAGCTATCATCAGGCAAATACATGGCCAACATATATACACCACTGAACTGCAGTACTAGTAAAATTGGATACAGTAATATTTATTATATTAATAATATAATGATTATGTTATATTATATATAATAATTATATTTTTATATAGTTATTTAATATAATTAATACTGTTGTATCCAATTTTACTAGTACTGCAGTTCAGTGGTGTATATATGTTAGCCATGTATTTGCCTGATGATGGCTTTCAATAAACGAAACATGTAGCAGAGCCACACTCGGCACTGACCCTAATATAGTTGTGTTATGACAGTTTTAATAAAGAAATTGTTTATTATAACACAACAGGATGCCTAAAATTAAAATTATACAATGCACATAGAATTTACAAATATCTGGTGCAAAAATTAAAATATATCTACAGAGAAACCCACTCTCAATATAAATAAGTAAATTTCAAACTGAAGTTACCTGCATATAACATACACAGTCATGAAGACACAGCTATGAATTTAAGGCACTTACTCCTGGGCTGTTCCGTGAGAAGTCTTGGAAAACAAGTTCCCTTGTGTTGGGGTCAACTCTGAGGCCATCTGTAATGGCTTCCTTAGGTCTGAGGGCCTCTACCAACTTGAAGCCCTGTGTGCCTCGTGTAAAGGTTGGTACTGAGACCTGCTGCCGGTACCAGTTGGAGCTCAGGCACTGCCCTGTAACTCCACTGCAGAAGCACTGGATGCAGCCAAATTGATTGCTTGCATCCAAGTGGAAGTTGTTTGGCTTACATTGGTTGCATGTTGGCCCAGTGGTGTAGTCCTAAGCAGTGAAAAAGAGGCTTATGAGAAAAGAACCAACTCATGCAATACAACAATCAGGCAAATAAAATGAACCCTCATGCTTCAATTAATGTAAAATTACACATGATCATCACAGTGGTGAAGAAATATTCCTTTTATTTATGTAATGCTAAATAGCTGCTAACACATAGTGCACATGATCTCATAACTGTGTTCTTTTTCCTTCTGTTTTAAGTGGTACAAAGTCAAACGAAATTTCAAATGGAAATTTGACAATTACCATTTCTTGTTATAGTTTCCACAGCAAATATTTATATTAACGCCCTCTTATACCCCTGGTCACTGAGGGATACACTGAAATCGTGATTTAACTGAATATACACACATGAACTTGCAAAACTCTGGAATACCAACCAAAGCATGCATACAAAAGCCTGCTTGAATTTATATATACATATATAGGAATTATGTTAACTATCAACACAACAAATATACTCAGTTTTAATATTTGATCTTTATTCCTGCTACATGTTTCAGTCGTATATGACCAACATCAGGCAGTCATTTATAGGAATACATATAGTTACTGAACTACCGATATGGATCCATATCAGTGCAATGTGTCGTATTATATACTAACACAAAGCTTTAGCGGCCTCCGTAGTCTAGAGGTAATGTTCCCACCTCATAACTCGTGGTACGCGGGTTCAAATACCTGGCGGAGGTCGTCGAATTTTTAAGGGCGGAAAATTTCAGGGAACAAGTCCTCCGGGAGGGACTTTAAGCTGTGTGTCCCGTGTCGTAACTTTACGGCACGTAAAAGAACCTCATATCCCCAAAGGGGATCACTGAGCCAAATTCCAGGACGTTTCCCGCCCAACAGTAGTCTCTAAGGCCTCTGATAGACGGGGGAAGCATTATAGATACCGCTAAGCAAGTGGCCGAACTCGCTTGCTCGGCGTGACTGATGGTACGCACCATTTATCGGTAGGGTATAGAGACTGGTAGAATATCATAGAGGGAAGCACAATAGATCAAACTGGTCGCGGTGCATGGGGAAACCCACCCTCTCTAAATAACTAATAACTAACACAAAGCTTTTGCCTCAAAGTGGTGTTACAATTAAAGTAGAAAATACAAAAAATTAGATAAAAGATAAGTATAAAACGTATGCCATAAATCAAGATTTATGTGCTGTACATATTATGGTACATTAAAAAATATTACAAGTATTTTAAAAATGTTTAAAAATATATTAAGGAAACATGTTTTTTTTGGTACGGTAGGTTAAGGATATTTATGCCAAATTAAATACTAAAGTAGCAATGCTACAGTGTAGATATTGGGCAAGTATGGTTGTAGAAGCTTTCTATGTAGTAAGCCCAGTTGTGAAGCCCAAAAGACAAGTTTCTATGATGTACAGGTTATTAATGTGAGGTATACTGGTATGCTATTTTCAAGATATGTATCTTTATATAAACATACAGTATGGCGTATGTGCTTGTCTGGGTGTACATATGTTTGGTGTGTTCTACACCATGCGTTGGTTCAAAGTTTTCCTTCATTTAACGTTCAGTTTCAATGATCCCAAGTCAATAATCTGAGTGTCAAATTTCCTTCATCTAAGACTCCTAAATGTACTGTTGAAATCAACTCCTCTCCAACGACTTCTTAAGAATGGGTTTCATGGTCTATATATGCTCAGAATATGTAGCAGATAGTACTGCAATACAACTCAAAACTACTACTGCAAATAACATAACAGCATGAGGTTCAGGGCAATCCACTTAATGCTCTTAGAACCTCTTCCACTCAGTTACAATTTCATGTTACCCTTCACTCTCCAACTTGGTGTTCCACTTCACACGTTTCCTCAAGAGCATTATTTTATACTCCCACATCTCTGAACATTATAAATACGGAAGCACACACCACACACATAACATCTACTACAAGTGAGGACAACACCATATGCTGGTGGGGAGAACGTACAAGCAAGGGCAAAGTGAGTATAAAAACAAAAATAACAGTAGCAAAAAAAAAAAAAATGTAGGTATTTACATATTGCGGATTAACAACAACAACAGGCTTAGGTATGGAAAACAACAGAAAGCTACAATATAAACATCCAAGGAGAGTGATCGAAATATACTGTCTGGACAAGTGGATGATGCCCTAGTGAGGTGTAAAAAATAAATTTACAAAAAAAAAATTAAGAAAATTTTTAACGAATTTGAATAGAGGGCAATTACAGTGTATGATAATATGACTAATGGTAGCTAGATTGTGATTACAACATTTTAAATCATGAAATATTGCAGTTACATGTGAAGTGAATGAGTGATATTCAATACAGTATAACAGTTTTGGCCGGTTGGGGCCGAAACTTTTTGTAAAAGGGAAAGTGAAGGGGAAAGAATAAAAATAGTTGCATTTTTGATGGAACTGCATTACTGTGTGTACAAGCTGAGCCAGTGATAATGCACTTGCAATTGCAACACATGCTGCAGTAAAGGTGCATGTCATATCAAGAATCAGAGAGTACACCAATATCAACAAACAACTTCAAACTGTTACAGTGCTGAGTTTTATACTTACCACGATTTTGCACAGTGGGAGCATGAAAGAATAGAGCAACAGAGAACATACCACATTACATTTGCAATGACGTAAAATTTGCATGCCTCAAAATTCCTCTAACATACTGGGCCCGTGGTAAAACATTCAAGAACCAACCATTTCCTGCGTGTATAAACCCTTATACTCAAAAGGACCAAAACTATCAGGACTTCAAAACATCATGTGAGAGGTTAGATGTAGCTGTTACGCCTGGCATTTAATTACTTATCAATGGCTTACCAGACAGTGAAAATATTGGCAAACTTAGTTCAGATGATGATATCGCTTTGACAATGATTATATACAATTGGTGACTCCAGGAACCCAGGTGATCACTAACAGTGAGAGTGATAATGGTAGTAATGAACAGCAAGAAGAAAATGTAAACATGGGGTTGGGGGTGTCAGGCAAGTTGTGTGGCAAAATATAGGCTCATTTCCTACTTCAGGAGAAATATTTTGTGACAATTATGGTATCCAATTCAGCACTTCTAACTCACTGTCATGAGGTTTGAAAACATTTTAGATATACATCATGCACAACTCAATGTAGATGAAATCAACAAATATGCTCAGTAACAAAATTAAAAAAAGTGTCGATCCTTCCACATTTTTCATTAGGATTATGAAATGGGAAAATATTACGGCAGACATGACGTATGTGGTTTTGGCTTCCATTATGTTGATCGGTACTGTACAGAAGTCAATACTTAGATCATACTACTCACAGAACCAGCTGCCACTCAAGTCTGTCCTTTTTCTGAGATATGACATCTAGAAAGACTAGAGGTAATAATCAAAATTAATATTTTTTCTGACAATGTAAGGATACTAAGTTTCAAGAACTTCCCAAACTTTTCAAAACATATTCATTCACCCCAAAATAACGAGTTCCAAAATCGGTATTTTCCAAACCAGAACCCTGCAAGAGATTGAGCCCCAGACTCTGTAGAACGGTCACCTGTCTTTCATTAAATGCATACCCCTAAATAGTGCCAAATATGGCATTAGAACATACAACTCTGTGAGTCTAGCTCTGGCTATGTTTGGTCATTTCTCATTTACAGTGGCAAAGGCATGGAACTAATGAATCAGTCTGACTGGACAAACAAACAAAACTGCATCAATTGTAATACAACTGTCAGAAAATCTTCTTGGTGACAGACGCACTGTGTGGATGGGCAATTCTTATAATCCACCACATGCTGGCTCGATCCATGAAGTCCCCCCCCCAAAGTAATGTTGGTACTTCATGTGCTAACAGGAAAAAATATCTTCCTGCAGTATTGAAAAAAAAAATGAAGAAAGGAGAGCACTGGGCCAGCACTCCGAAGATGTGGCAGTTCTTGCAAGGCAAGGTAAGAAGCGAGTGATATCTGGGTATAACAAATAAAGCAAACAAAGAATTCATATTTATGAGTACAGTATCAACATGTGTGGGGTGGATGTGAAGAGCAAGTGCTACAGCCATACTGGCTGGGATGAACCAGTCATGTACAGTTCACTCCCAAATAACAAAAACATAGATGCACTAAAATTCAGACTTTCGTTAGCACAAGGCCTTGTGGAATAAAACAGTTCTAGTGCTCCTCATCCAGTACACAGCCACCAAGCAATTGGATCACTGCCTAAAAGACTCACAGACTGACATTTCCCAGAGTGCATTCTTGCAACGGGAAAGAAGGCAAAACCCCAAAGGAGATGTGTGGTGTGCATGAGACACAGAAGGAGCAAATCTGTGAATGTGAAGAAGGATTGTGTTCAGGTGGATGTTTGAGGAGCTGATATACAAACCTCAACTTCTAATTAAATTGCTTCTACTGCTCACATTATAAGGTAAGCTTATAAAGCCATATTTACTGACAATTTAAGTGAAATTAAGTTGTTATAAATACATGATTTTAAAGCAGAAATTAAATGGGCATTTAAAAAAAATATCACTGACCACTCATAACTGTGGTGCTTATATGCCAGAGTTCAAGGGTTAAACAATCTGGTATTAACCCTTTCAAGATAGGAACAGCCATACCACGTACCATGGATGGAGGAGTGTATAGGTGAGTAATGCAAACCTTATTTATATTAGATTGCACGATTAAAAAGCAGGGATGTGATAAATACAAAAATTAGAAATGTAGTAGTTATACAAATGTGTATATATATCCATAGGAAGGGAGAGGATAATTAATTAATTGATCAAGAACCAGGGGAAGACTGATTCATGCAAAGCCAAAAGACATATCTACTTTTGCTAACAGTGAAAAGTTGACCAAAGATCTCATAACAAACATAACCCTGCAACATCCTATATCAGTATCACAGTGCTCTCCTTAACAAAAGGCTGCATGTGCGTGTAGGTAGGTGTGCATGTGTGATGCCAATAAAGGCACTGGTCACTCCAACTGACATCATTCTCTTGCAGTAAAAAAAGACTGAATCCTGTCATGAACCAGTTCCATACATCTTCCATCCTCACACCCCACTTCCTACCAGCTATTTTAATGACATCCTCCAATCTCCTCAGCCTTCCAAGCGATTTCCTCATCAAAATTTTGTAAGCATTACATATCTCCCTGATCCAACCTTACTCTAGAGCAATGCACTGAAGAGGTAGTAAAGTACACATTGCTGACATAGGTTAACTCACCTTACAAATACATCGGCCAGTGGCCGGGTCAGGTACTGGTGACACACTGCCTGCCGCATTACAGTATCCTGCAAAAACATTGCAAACAATGAATTGCACCATATTTCATAACCAGATGCTTATTTCTGGGTTACTCTTAGTATCATCCAAGCACCTGTAAACCCTGTAATGGATTACATGTGTATACAACAAACATCTGGCTTCATGTAATCAGAGGTTCATGTATAGAGGTGTACACCATTTACTGTATCAGACAATAAATGATCACTGCAATGCTGACTTCTTTGCATGTGTATTACCAATAACCTTCCACATCAAATTTTATTATAATCTGCAGTTGGAATATGACAATCCCTCATAAAGTGCAGCCAACAGTCTTTAACTTGAATATCTTCCTTCTCAAACCAATTACCCAGCATAGGAACATCCAAAAACGAATGTCTTGCCTCTTTTGAAGCTGCAGGAACAATGTAACGATAAGACACAGGCATCATGCTCTGTCTCTTGAGCTCCCAATCTTCATTCTAGACTACATGCAACATTTTCATTGTGCTCTTCAGACCGTGGCATACATTCTACCATAATTTGACATCAAGACTACATGTACAAGACTTACCCCAGAGATGAAAAGAAGAGAAAGTGAATGAACAAAATGTGTGACTGTTACCTTGTCTGCATGAGTCCCCTGGAATGAATGGGTTGCCTTGGTAACCTACTGCACATTGCTCACACCTCCTGCCTACATAGCCTTGTGGACAGTCACATGTTACTTGCCCATCTGTGTCCAAGAAACATGTGCGGCCAAACCTGTAAGAGTTGATACACACTAACACAGAGTAAAGTGGTACTAAATTATGAAAGTGAGTTGACGAACCCACAGAAAAACGCAAGTATGTAGGTTCCTTCCTTCCTTTCTTTCTTTCTCTATCTTTCTTTCTTTCCTTCTCAGCTGGAGAAAGAAGACCAATAAATCTATGATGTCTGACAAATAACTGGATTTATGTTTTTGTTCACCATTTGGCAACGCTGATGAGTAAATACATACCAGTATTGTGCAGAACAGTCATTAAGATTCAGTGAGTCTTTTGATACTGGAAAATGTTTTATTGCTATAATGTATTATGTGTGTGTGGCAAGAAGGTGAGCGCTAAAACAGAGAACAGGCTATAAATTGTCCATGATTTATTCTGACCATCTTACAGTGCATACATTTATTCACCTTACTCTTCTCTTTTGTACTGCATGTTTCAGCACTAATGTGCCATCTTCAGGTGCTTCTCTATGCATGTCAAACTACTTCATTGCATGCCCTGATGTCTTCATACTAAAATGACTAAAATATATATATTCGTCATGTATAATGATAAATTTTAAATATTAAAACTTTTCAGGATTTGTCATCCTTACATCGTATCTCAATACACGAATCACGCCAATCCTCCTCTATGGGAGCACTCTTTCTACTTTCATGTGTGTATTGTGCTTTGTGTTGTGTCTTGCTCCTGTGACTGCGTGTGTTATAGGAGCAAGACACAACACAAAGCACAATACACACATGAAGGAAGAATACTCCGATAGAAGAAGATAGGTGTGACTCGCGTATTGAGATACGACATAAGGATGACAAATCCTGAACATTTTTAATATTTAAAATTTATCAATATATATGACGAATATATATTTTAGTTATTTTAGCATAAAGACAACAGGGCATGCAATGAAGTAGTTCGATGTACATCGAAAAGCACCTGAAGATGGCACTTTAGTGCTGAAACATGTAGTGCAAGAGAGAAGAGTAAGGTGAATAAGTGTATGCACTGTAAGACGGTCAGAATAAATCATGGACATAAATCAGTGCAACAGGACACTAAAATATAACATTATTAATAGTAGGCTATAAATTTTCAGTGAAATTAGAGAAGATTATCACTGTAATCTACAAACTGCTATGGCAAGTTCTGGAGTTGTAAACAAGAGGAAACAGAGATTTTAAGGTTACAAAAGAGATGATATTATAGAGCGTGAAAGATCTGGCCATCTGACTGCTTCTAAAACTGTTTGAAGTGTGGAAAAATTCACTGAAATGGTGGCAGAGAGACATTTAGTGGATTCTTCAGAACATAGACGAACGGAAGTGATGGAACTGTGAGACCAAGTCTGGCCACATATCTTGAAATGAAATCTGTGCCAAAAAATAACAATAATGCCAATAACAAGCAATAATTGGGGAGAGAGATTTTTCAGATATTTCAGTAACAGAAGATTTCACTTCTGGGTGAAAGTAATGAGTGGTGAGTGGCCCGTGATTTTTAGTATGACCAACAAACAAAGATTCCAAAATCACCAATGGAATAATTAAACTAGGAATTACAAATTACTTAATCCCAAACAGTGAAACAAGCATCCTGTCTTCAAGCCTTCAAAGATTTACAGCAGTTAATCCATTAGAAAAGACCAAATATATAAATGGACAAATGGATTTTACATATCACACTTTTGGTAAAGCAACTTTGGTGTTTGAACATCCACAGTACCAGTCCTGTTTGTACATTACAACATTTTCATATTCTAAAAACTACAAACTTCATTTTGAATCGCCTGAAAATACTTAAGAGCCACTAGCAAGCCCGAACTGTTGCAAAATTGCTTCTCACTGCAGAAATTATGAAGAATACTAACTTCCGAGATGTAACGCCATGAAGTCTGGTGACAGTTTACCGAAGTTCCTCCCACAGTCTACATGGTGTCACAGCCACGTAACGGGGTTGGTAATTGGATTTACTGACAACTTACAGATCATAAATATGAGTAACTCTATCAGTATCACTAATTCACTCTCTTTGCAGTTCACTGCAGCACACATTTAAATCTTCTCAGCCTGTCGTGTGTCTTCACCAGTCACTGCCTGCTAATGGCTTCCAGTGGTGGACTATCTCCTTACTATCCCCATGCCTCAGCTACCAGCTTCTATCAGCAATGGCTCACAAGGACTGAACCCCAGCAATCCCCTACCTCACTGACTCGCCAATCAACTCGCTCCCCTCCACTGCATTGCACTTACTATCTCAACACAATCTGTCAAGTGATACAGCCTTGGAGCAAACCATTGGAATACATGTATGTAGCCAAAAGTCAAACATGCCTACTTAAGAGGTGGCAACACTCATTAAAAATCAAAGAAAATATATCTGTTAATAAGGTCTAAAAGTCTGTGACAATGATACAAATATTATGTTTCTGGACACTGTTGATCATCCTGTCTTTATCTAGAAACACTGTCTTGTTTATATTTCAAAACACAACCTTTCTGAGATTGGATTCTGTCTCCATCTTCAGCTAAAACTTACTCAGTTTAGCCAAATGGATAGAACAAGTCCATATCTCTGGACACATGTACCAGCACCAAGATGAAGTATACAAGCACTAACCATCTGTGAGAGCTAAGAAAACATTAAATTATTAAAAACTCTACACATATGAGGCCTCACTCCTTATGGTACCAATACAAGAAAAACAAATTTTCCCACTCATCTACACTGGACGTAGTTGTAGTTTTCTGACTTCTGTTGTGATAATGAGAGTCCAGATGGGAAAGATGTCCATGCTGGCTTGACTGATTGGATGGTCCAGCAGAGACATGTGAAAAAGGCATTCCTTTTATTTCCTGCATGTGGTGTTTGGTTCAATCTGCAAGACCTTCTCTTCATTCCAACATATTTTGTGGCCTTCTCTGTACACATGTGGGCTAATTTTCATTTTTCAAGCAAACCCTGTGTCAGGTTGTATTTGTGCTTCTTAATACGTACTTCTAAAGATATGCTTGTTTCACTGATGTAACATCTACCACAATCACATGGGATGCTGTACGCACACTGCTTTGTCTACTGGGCATCTCTAACCAGTCCAGTTTTCATCAGTGTCCCATAAAGTGTATGTTTAGTTTTGAAAATGGTTCTGAGATTGAAGTGGTTCCTGATATGGACTACTCTATCGACTGGGGCCTACTGAGTAAGTTTCACCTTAAGATTGAGACAGAATACAGTCTCTAAAACATTGTGTTTATAGATAAAGACAGGATGACAGACAATGTCCAGAAATATAATAATATATGTTTATTTATAGAATTCAACCAGTGCCTTTATGTGTTACCTATGGATAGCATATCTCCTGAATTTTATATAAGAAATTATACTGAATCATGCAAATAAGTATTGAAGGTAATAACATAAAATAAGACTGATAAGATGAGTATAAAATTCCATCTGATATCAATCAATTATATAGCGGGTGCTTAGTCACACACTCGCATGTCAAGCATGCAGAATGACTTAATATGCTGAAGACTAGGTAAAATGTTACAACATGCTACATCTTATCTAACTATGGTCAAGAAATCGGTTTCCTGTTACAGTACTCAATCCAAACTGGAAGAGCAAACCGTGGATCTGTCTGCCAAAGGAAATGTAGCAAGCCTGATTATGGAACTGATGTTTTGGTGTTAATGTCAGGGAAATACAGAAATGTTATGAACTCAGGTTCTATTCATCTAATATTACATGGGCATAGAACAATTTCTTGAAATTATATGCTCAAATTGACCACTTTGAGTTGGGTGTGATACTATTTGAGGAACTTTCATAAATTCATAACGTCTGGACTCATACCTTTTTCTCATTCAGCCAAATGAGGAACTATAAATACTCACTGGTTGCCAGGGTTAGTGAGGGGGCAGGGACATACTTCACATGGGACACGTGGCGGATCTCCGTAAGTACCAGGACGGCAGGGCTCCCGATCCTTGCTGCACAATCCCAGCCAGGGTCCTAACTGATGCCGGTTGTAACCAGGTGCACATACCTGCAACATTAATTAATTTATCAATATATTTTGTGCACTAAATGTCTCCCAAGGGAAACAGGAAAACCATACAAAAATAGGAACTGCTGCAGGAAGCAGAATCTCATATGCATACAAGTTTCATAACAAAACCTTCAAATTGTTGGAAAAAACTGACCTCACAGGAGAGCCCAGTGTACCCGGCAGGACAGCGACACTCCTCCACGAACACTGCTTTCCCTTGCCCTGTGTTGCGGATGCCTGCAGAGTCCATGTTGATGTTGAAGATTTGTGTATTCAAGATGGGACCATCATCATACTGGGCCCTGTCAATAGGCAAGCTTTCACTTTGACCTGCCATGTGTTTCAGCATTGTAAAAGTGCAAGCGCACACTCTGGTCAGTCAAGTACTGATTTCTTATCTACGCTAATAACATTACCCACAGGTTAAAAACCAGTCACCAACTCTGGAATACCTGGAGGTTTAAAATCCCTACTTCCAAATGATATTTAACAAGTTAAAATATGACATGAACAGGCAGCTTTATTATTGTGACGCGTTACCTTACGTCCATCACCGCAACAACCGCTACAATCCGAATGGACACTTCCACGACAACGAATACGTGGAAACTGTGGAGCTCACGCAGCGACAAACCGTAGCAACGAATTGTCGTTGAGTAACAACGGGTGAGATGAAACACATTATCAGTGTAATCTATAAAGAGCATTCCCGAAGCAACGGATTGCTGAACAGTGGTAACAGAACCGTGAGAAATGGTGTCCAGTATCCAGTCCGCATAACCCCTATATAAGCAGAGCTTATGACATGTACAGTATTGATTATTGAGTATTGGAGTATTGAAGATTAGAGCATTGAGAGCGAGATAATCTTGAAATAGCCATCGGCAGAGACAGCTGAGATCCAACCACAGCCAAGGATAGTTGAGACATCGCATTTGAGTATTGGGCCAGAAGCCAAGTGATATTGATAATAATAATAATTGTATGGTGTGTGTGTGTGTGTGTGTCCAATAAAGATTCGCTAGATCAGAGACCTACGTGAAGTTATCTGTCACGTGACATTATATTTGCACATGCGGCTTAACAATTTGATATGGAAAATCCCATCAACACACTGACCCTAAACAATTTCAACAGAAAGCATTCTGATCCATCACACTTGATGTCAAGTGAGACCAGTTTGATTTAATTACACAGAAACCTTTACGTGTTTTGGTCTTAAGAGACCATCATCAGCAGGTGCTCAACAAGTCAGGAAGTGCTTTCCACTTATAAAGGTCAACTGTTCACCGGTTCTGACCCCCCCCCCACACACACATGGAGTTAATTAATTACATTTTTAATTACAATAACAATGGAAGTTATTTAACACTTCAGTGTTAAAATGTACAGCTGTGGATGTGTTAAAAATGTTTCAAAAGACTTTTTTCTATTTTAAGAAAAAAAGTTTTAGAATTTATTTTTATTTTAAAAGGAAAATATTTTAAAGCATTTTTATCACATCAACAGCTGTATGTTTTAACACTGATGTGCTAAGTAACTCTTGTTTTTATTGTAATTACAAATGTAATTAATTCACTCAATGTGGGGGGGAGGGGCAGAACTGGTGAACAATTGACCTTTATAAATGGACAGCACTTCCTCAAGTGTTGAAAAACTCCTGATGAGGGTCTCTTAAGACTGAACCATGTAAAGGTTTCTGTGTAATTACATAAAATTGATCACACTTCATGGTGGTGGTGTTCATCTGATGACCCTATACAATGTCAAATACAATCTGTCAAGATTAAGTAAATGCTAGTTGAAAATTCATGGGAAATTTTTAATACTGCCTTCAGCTATAGGTTCTTTTTATTGCTAGTGGAGTGGGACTAAGACCCTTGTACTGCGGCCCCTTCTGGCCTATTGTACCAGCCCGATGATATGTGATAGGTGAGCGTGATTGCGGAGCAACTGGTAGAATGAAGATTGGCAGGGGAAACCGAAGTACTCAGAGAAAACCTGCCCCAGCACCACTTTGTCCACTACAAATCCCACTTGACCAGATCCGGGATCGAACCCAGGCCGCTGCGGTGGGAAGCCAGCAACTAACCACTTGAGCTATGGCGTGGCCATAGCTATTAGTTAAGACAGATAACCCTCCCACTTATCTGTCCTTACATATTACAGCCCTTGATGGGCACACTGAAACCATAATTTCATTGAATGTGCATGCTATGAACTTAAAATGTCTGACAAAACAAGCATAATAGTCTAAAAGTAACCCCCCCCCCAGCATTTATTTTTTGGGAAATACTGGCACTGTCATACATACTAATGACACTGCAATACCAACGAAAACACAGTTGCTTACTGCTGCTATCTTCTGGTACTACTGTAACTAACTCAGACCCCTGTAAGTTTTGAGGTTTTCACGGCGATGACAATGAAGAAAGTTGTCTTCTGGGTTTAGGCACCGTGTATTCTTCGTTTTGGCCGACGTTTCGGAGGAACGTAGCGCCTCCATCTTCAGAGCAGTTGAATAGCTGCGGAGAGCAGTAGCTGTGGTGATAGGATGTGGAAGGTGCTGCTTATATACGAAGTAGGCAGGGGGGTGGTTAGGGAGAACGGACCAATGGGAGCAGTGGAGAGCGATTAAGGCCATATATGGTGTGTGACTAAGGGAGAGGGGGAACGGCCAGTGAGTACAGGAAACTTGAGGTCAATAGCACTAGGAAGTGCGGTAGTCAAGA